GCAGAACTGTTTCAAAAGGTCTGCTATATGAACCCTAATGAAAGTTTACTTAGAGAGAGAGAGGCAACAGAAACACCCAACGTGGAGCTCAAACCCACAACCCTGAGATTAAGGGTCTCATGCTCTACCGACTGAGCTAGCCAAGCTGATGAGAAGCCCTTTCAAGAGCTAGACATCATTTACAGTAATACCTTCCCTACCCGTGAGAATCTTCTGCTAAATCCTGATTTCATCTTGTAACGCTGGACAGAATGTGGCCCAGGATCTATGTCCAGTGCACGTGTTAGCAGTTGCAAGGCAGCAAAATGCCTAATTGGTCCCTGGGTGGGCTTGAACCACCGACTTTTCAGTTAAAAGCCGAATGCGCTAACCGATTGCACCACAGAGACTTAGTAAAAGGTCACCTACAGTGGTAGAAAGACGTAACTTTGTCTCAAAAGGTCTGCTATATGAACCCTAATGTAAGTTTGCTGAGAGAAAGAGAGAAAAGTAACAGAAACGCCCAACATGGGACTTGAACACACGACCCTGAGATTAAGGGTCTCATGCTCTACCGACTGAACTAGCCAAGCTGATGAGGAGCCCTTTCAAGAGCTAGACACCGTTTACAATAATACCTTCCCTATCCATGAGAATCTTCTGCTAAATCCTGATTTCATCTTGTAACGCTGGACAGAATGTGGTCTAGGATCTATGTCCAGTGCACGTGTTAGCAGTTGCAAGGCAGCAAAATGCCTATTTCGTCCTTGGGTGGGCTTGAACCATCAACCTTACAGTTTACAGCAGAACTCGCTAATCGATTGCGCCACAGAGACTTAGTAAAATGTCACCTACAGTGGTAGAAAGGCGGAACTTTGTTTCAAAAGGTCTGCTATATGAACCCTAATAAAAGTTTGCGGAGAGAGAGAGGCAACAGAAATGCCCAACATGGGGATCTAACCCACACCCCTAAGTTAAGAGTCTCATGCTCTACCGACTGAGCTAGCCGGGCTGATGTGAAGCCCTTTCAAGAGCTAGACACCGTTTTCAGTAATACCTTCCCTACCCGTGACAACCTTCTGCTAAATCCTGATTTCATCTTGTAACGCTGGACAGAATGTGGCCCAGGATATATGCCCAGTGCACGTGTTAGCAGTTGAAAGGCAGCAAAATGCCTAATTTGTCCCTTGGTGGGCTTGAACCACCAAACCTTTAAGTTAACAGCCAAACATGCTAACCGATTGCGCCACAGAGACTTAGCAAGAGGTCACCTACAGTGGTAGAAAGGCAGAACTTTGTTTCAAAAGGTCTGCTATATGAACCCTAATGAAAGTTTGCTGAGAGAAAGAGAGAAAAGTAACAGAAACGCCCAACATGGGACTTGAACACACGACCCTGAGATTAAGGGTCTCATGCTCTACCGACTGAACTAGCCAAGCTGATGAGGAGCCCTTTCAAGAGCTAGACACCGTTTACAGTAATACCTTCCCTACCCGTGAGAATCTTCTGCTAAATCCTGATTTCATCTTGTAACGCTGGACAGAATGTGGCCCAGGATATATGTCCAGTGCACGTGTTAGCAGTTGCAAGGCAGCAAAATGCTTAATTCGGCCCTGGGTGGGCTTGAACCACCAACATTTCAGTTAACAGCCGAAAGCGCTAATTTAATGCGCCACAGAGACTTAGTAAAAGGTCACCTACAGTGGTAGAAAGGCGTAACTTTGTCTCAAAAGGTCTGCTATATGAACCCTAATGTAAGTTTGCTGAGAAAAAGAGAGGTAAATAACAGAATCACCCAACGTGGGGCTCGAACCCAAGACCCTGAGATTAAGAGTCTCATGCTCTACCGACTGAGCTAGCCGGGCTGACGAGAAGCTCTATCCAGAGCTAGACACCAATTTCAGTTATACCTTCCCTACCTGTGAAAATCTTCTGCTAAATCCTGGGGGCTATTCCAGAAAGCAGGTTATGTGACATACACGGGTAAGTTTGAGAGTAAGTAGGTGGATAACCTCAACTTTGGTTCCAAAATCGGAGGTAACTTCTGGGTATGTTAAGTAGCCAAAGCAACTTACTCTCTGAAGATAACCTGCTCCGGAGCAGGTTATGTTCAGAGAGTAAGTTGCTATGTTTCAGAGTTTGTCTGTTTCAGAGAGTTCACTGAGCATTGCGTGCTCTTTTGATGAGAATATTTATGGATGTGGACACACAGATACAAGTTTTTTTCGTTGTAAGAGGGTTACAAGTGCATAGTTTTTTTCATAACCAAATTCATAATGTTAATGTATTTAACAAACCTTTTTGAAATCAAATGTGACAAACCGCGGGTCTGCGCTTACCATAAAAAACATTCAGTGCAGCTCTTTGTATTCGCGTCAGGGCATTTTAGGCAACTGTACAATGTGGCAGTAGGACCACCTGTACAGTATGCCTGGCACTGAACTGTTTTTTACACTTTTGTACAGTTCCTTGGTCATACATTACTGCGTACCATTACACAGATGATACAGAGCACGGGAATAGCGTAGTGGACAGTGCGTCAATAAAGAACAACGGAGCGCACAACGGAGCGAGTTCGAATCTCACTTACATATCTTGTGTTTTTTCTCTTCTTCTGCACCCTCACATTTTTCTGTATTATATTATAAGTGGCAGCTTTGTCTTTTGTAGGAAAATATATCTTTAATTTAAGATGTAGGACTTCATTCTTATATATACATTCACGCACACACAACTACATTTTTTAATATAATATTTTTTTCAGGTTTTCTAAATGCTATTGTGTGCATTAATTGCAGCCGATTTTAAAGCTCCATCAGTCACTAAAGGACACTGATAATATAAAATTTGTCCAAAGTATAAGTGTGCAGGTACAACTTAATTTTCTATCCTTAATCTTTTGGTGTTTCAACTATTAAACTCATTACTGCTTACCAGCTCATCACACACCCCACCTCATCACTATGTTGAAGCTAAATGGCTGATTTTCAGGAAGTAATGATTCAAGTGTATAACACAAATATAGTAAAAAAATATATATATATAAATCAAATGTTGCTTAACACAATGTTTATTTTTATTATATTTGTATTATAAAATAGAATCATTACTGGGCACTACATTGTTACTTGCTGGAGGACAAAAGATACCCTTTTCTGCCTTATACGATGACACCCTACCTGCAGCCTGACCCAGAGGAAATCTCAGTGACCCAAGCAGACAAAACAGATGGAAGAGTGCTAAAAAATATAATTAGTCAAAAAACTATGTTTAATCAAATAGTTTGGCTGTTCATTTCTTGATTTCCTGAAATAAAATGAAAGATTTTGTACACTGCTTTATACACAAACCTTTCAACGTGCAACATATTTTTCATATACATTTCTCACCTTAAGTTGATGCTCATGTGACTTTATCTTTGAAGATGAACCTTATACAGCTACTTTAGAATTTAAATATGTAGATAAAAGATTTTGTGATCCAAGATTAATATTCAAATATGGAAAAGTGCAGAAAATTCTTACACTGCTTGTTAGTTGAGGCAGAAGGAACTTCGTCTGCATGCAAAATAAAAAGAACCTAAAGCTATCTGACAACAATCACTTACAACAGTGACAGAGTGTGTGGTTTAAGTCAAAAACTCAACCACTGAAAAGCCTTTATTATAGGACACAGCAGTTAGACAGGCCTCTTTCTATTAGCTGCATGTCAGAAAGAATATTCTAGAGTGTTAAATAAAGAGCTCCAGTAATTAAATATTACCTTTTATGATAATGTTTCTGTGTTTAATGACTTTGGACAGAGTTCTAGCTCCAGAAAGATTACAATTTCTATAAGCCTTATTAGTCAACACATATATTGTGGCCTTAAGAAATTAATGGCAAGAAAAATAAATGCATGAATGGTTACACAACATACTCAAAAAGGATGTTAAAGAGTAGTTTAATTTATCATTACAATAAAATGGAGGGTGGCATGTGTAATTTAATGAACTAATAAATTTTCTTATTATTTATTTTTTATTTTCTTATCTATTTCGTATTCTATATTTCTTTCCTTTGTTGAAGCAGATGTGTAATCTCTGTGTTTAAAACCTACAGCTTCGCCTCTGTAAAGTGCGTTGCCCTTTTTTTCTCACCGTGACTTTCTATGGTGACTCGTGAATTCGGCGATCTACTGAAAATGCCATCAGGTGTGTGCCGTGCACGCGCATTAACCCGCGGTTATCTTCAGGAGGTTGATTTAACTAACTCTTGTCACCTGTTTTGGAACCAACATACTCGCGGTAAGCAGGTTTTGGGTAAATCAACCGAGAGTTTAGGTTTTAGCAGATGGTAAGTTAACCCACCTTTCTGGAATACCCCCCTGGTCATGAAAATGTTTGTACTAACCATACTGCACATTTTTATTAACTTAACAATAAATTATTTCTGCTGCCCAGTGTGAAAGATATTTTTCAGCTCAACTGGATCAAAAATTCACCAAAAAGCTGTGTTTGAAATCGACACTTTGGACACTGAACTTTTAGCATTTGTTCAATTAACAATATTTTTTTCATATGTTCCTGCTCTCAGCTGTTTCTACTATTTGCTGATGATAAAAAAATTATTAACTGAAGTGACCTTGAATTAGCATTTTGCACTTTAAAAATTTATTTTAGTTCATTCAATTAAGATATTTTATAAAATTAAAAAATGATATATCGGTATCGGTTCGTACTGAAAGCTGCAATATCGGTATCGTATCAGAAGTTAAAATGTTGTATCGGGACATCCCTACATGAGAAAATGTTTTGTATGTTTCATGTAATGTTTGCAACTTTTTGTCCAATTCTGTAGACACATCAGATTTCAGATGTACAGTTTCTCTCCAGTGTGAATCCTCTTTTGTTTGATTCAGATGTGTTAACTGATGAACCTCTCGTCACAGTGTGAACACTTGTATGGTCTCTCAAGTGTAAAACGTCTGGTGCAGTTTCAATTTTGTAATAAAAGTCTTCTCACACTCAAAGCACATATACTCTTTCACACCAGTGTGGATCTTCATGTGTTCATTAAGGTTTGCTGATCGGTTAAAACTCTCCTTACACTGAGTTCATGTGAATGGTTTCTCCCCAGTGTGAGTCTTTATGCGTTTATTAAGGTCTGAGGAGTTACTGAAACTCATCCCACGCCAAAGCTGCGGTCACACTAGAGTTTGAGCATGCAAAATTCTGTTGTATGGTGTTGCTAAAAGGAGCGGGAACAAACAAGATGATTAGACATTAAAAACAGTGTGCGATTGGAACATTTTTTAAAATTTCGGTCCAGAGAGGTCATGTTTTGATCTTCGATTGGTCTCACAGTCAAGTGATGCGATTTCGCAGGTCAGAGTCCGTCAGAGTTTCGTAGGTCATGGTTTCTCTCCGTTGTGGCTTACCATGTGTAGATTAAGGCGTGATGATTGGCTGAAAATCTTCCCACACTGAGTGCATGCATATGGTTTCTCTCCAGTGTGTTTCCTCATGTGTCGATTAAGGTGTGATGAGCAGGTAAAACTCTTCTCACACTCAGTGCATGTGAATGGTTTCTCTCCGGTATGGATCCTCATGTGTAGATTAAGGTGTTCTGATCGGTTGAAACTCTTCCCACACTGAGTGCATGTGAATGGTTTCTCTCCAGTGTGGATCCTCATGTGCTTATTAAGAGATGATGATTGGCTGAAACTGTTCCCACACTGAGTGCATGTGAATGGTTTCTCTCCAGTGTGGATCCTCATGTGTAGATTAAGGGATGTTGATAAGCTAAAACTCTTCCCACACTGAGTGCATGTGAATGGTTTATTTCCAGTGTGGATCATCATGTGTTTACTAAGGTTTGACGAGCAGTTGAAACTCTTCCCACACTGAGTGCATGTGAATGGTTTCTCTCCTGCGTGGATCCTCATGTGTAGATTAAGGGATGTTGATAAGCTAAAACTCTTCCCACACTGAGTGCATGTGAATGGTTTCTCTCCAGTGTGGATCCTCATGTGTTTATTAAGAGGTGATAAGTGGCTAAAACTCTTCCCACACTGAGTGCATGTGAATGGTTTCTCTCCAGTGTGGATCCTCATGTGTAGATTAAGGGATGATGATATGCTGAAACTCTTCTCACATTGAGTGCATGTGAATGGTTTCTCTCCAGTGTGGATCCTCATGTGAATCTTAAGTTTGCTTTTGCTTGCCAAAATCTTTCCACACTGAGTGCAGGTGAAACTATTTTTGTTTCTCCTTTTCAATATATCATCAGTCTGTAAATGAGTTTTTTCCTCAATTTTAACATGATGTTCCTCCTCTTTCCTCCTCTCCTTCTCTTCAATTAGGTCTGAAATAAATAAATAAACGTTAGTTTTCATTAAGTCTTGAAAACTCTCATCAAAACACACACACAATGTAATTTTGATGCATGATAAATGTAAAATAAATCAGATCATAGTTTGTTTGGTACATTAACGTGTACACACTTAAGCAGATTCCAATCATCTTCATTTATCTAGTGTTTTTACAATGTGAATTCTGTCAAAGACACTTCACATAGAAGTTATAGTAAATTGAAACCGTGTCAGTCCAGTTTTCCAAGTTTCTCATAAAAGTATTTTTGGTCATATTAATAAGACACAGATTTGAAAGCTGTTTGTAGCCGACGCTGATTGGTCAGCTTGTAATTTTGTTTATTGTTTTGAATTTCATTATTTGAATGTGTATTGGTATATGTTTGTTACTAATTTCTTTGTTTCCGGTTGGCTTGAGTGGAAAGTCACATGATTCTCATTGATTGATTTAACCTGCAAGAGTTTGTATGGTCACTCAGGATGGTGAGATCTCAATGCAAGCACCTGTTTAATGCTCCTGCTTATTCTACAGCTGGTTATCAGGCCAACACGGTAAACTAAACATTGTTTTATGTATTATTTGTTTATTTTGATGTCCTTTTGATTGTGTTGATTGTGCAGTCTTCACGGTGTTCAATAAATGAAACGCATGGTGGACATCAGTATTTGGAAGCGTGGACTGTTTAATAACCGGCGGGTAGTTACACTGTTAATGGCCTATTTTTATTTGTATATATTTATAATTACAACAAAATGACAGGGAATACTTTTTCATTCTGTGCCTGACTGGCTAACACATCAGAAAAAAAAAGTTCTGAGGTAACAGCTGAACAAACAGCTGAATATTTACCTCTCAGACATGAGACATATCTGTACAACATCTGCATAAAGGCTGGAATGTGCACCTTTCCAAAGATGTATAGTAACGGAGTAGAACTACTTCACTACTGTACTTAATTACTAAAAGGCAGTATCTGTACTTTACTGAAGTATTATTTTTTTTCTCCTACTTAAACTTTTACTTCAGTACATATTTTCAATAAGTTTAATACTTTTACTTCGATAAACTTTTTATGTGCTGCATCGTTACTCGTTACTAGGGGTGTCAAAATAATCGATATTGGAATAGGTTATTACATACTAACGTCATTTATCTCCACTGTGCGATGTCGCAATACTAGGACGGAGGCGAGGGTGAGTGAAGGCTGCACAGCACACGAGCCACTATTACACTATACAGAGAATTGCTGTAAAACTTCATCTTTGCCTCTCTCTCACTTTGTACATTTGACCTGTTGCGCTGGCTTTCCTCTTCTCTTGTCTAAGCGATAATATTGGATCCGGACACAAGCGTGCCTTTGGTGCGAGTTTTCTCCAATGTCTATTATGGATTACCTGTGATAACCGTGTATTATTTGTATTAAAGTACTGGCACTAGGGATGTAACAATATTGTAAATACCGTCATAGTAATTTTTTTCAATATTACCGTAGGCGCATGACTCAATAAAACTATATTTCTGAGAAAAGTTTGCTTAGGCAAATGAAGCGAACGGGAGGTAGCGGGAACTACAATTCCCATCAGCCTAGGCGTGGCCATCATTCTTTCCGGTCTGTTGTTACTACAGATCCAGTAATGCGGAAATGGAGTGTGTTGCTAGTAGAGGGGAAGAAAAAGAGCTGGAAATGATCGAACCTAAAGCGGGTTTTAAATCGGATGTGTGGAAGCATTTCGGTTTCTTTCTAAAAAGACACGATAAAGGAGAAAAGGTGACAGACAAAGAAAAAAACAGTATGCAGGCACTGCCAGACTGTGGTAAAATATAAGTCGGGGAATACGACTAAAAACAGTCATGGTGACTGCAGAACACAGCACACTTGTTAGATTGATGCAGACATTGACTTGTACCATAAAGAGACCTCTATCTCACTCATGGCTTGTCCTCTCAAGTGGTGGAAAGACATTGCACAACGTTACCCACTGCTGTCAACCTTGGTTAAATCATATCTTTCTGTCCCAGAAACCTCAGTCCCAAATGAGAGGGTTTTTTTTTTCTTCTGTTGACATGCCCAGAGATCATAGCTTTTACCAGATTATAGTTATATGATAATTTTTCTTAAAAAACCCATCTCTATCTAAGTGAGTGAGTGATTAAATGTTGAATGTGATGAGTTTTCAACAATACTAAATTGAAACTTAATTTTTTTTAATATGGTTTAATAGTTTTTTGTTATTAAAATTGAAAAATTGAAGTTCTTGTTTCGAAACTTACAGATAGATGGCTAATTTGTATGTCATTGATATGTTCAGTGCTAAGGTAAATAAACACTTTTGGCACTTTTTTCAAGTCTTAGTAGTTTTAAGTAGTTTTGTTTTTCCTGTAAATTATTCAATAAATACCGTACCGTGCCATTCATACCAAGGTATTATCGTACCATGAAATTCTGATACAGTTACATCCCTAACTGGCACTCTTGCTAATTGTATTAATATTTATCACTGAAGGGTTCATAATTATGTTTCAGTGTATTACGGTACTGTAGTGATGACATCATGTTGTTTACGTGTTTAACGTCTAGGGCTGCAACTAATGATTATTTTATTAATCAATTAATCTGTTGATTATTTTTTCGATTAATCGGATTAAAAAAAAGCCCTTTCCAACCCTTTATTCAAAAAAGCTCATGCCTATAATAATAATAATGAACTGTTTTCAATCCAAATATCTAAATGTTTTTAAATGAAGATACTTACTAGACACATGAAATTCCATAAGAAATCACTTAACCTTAAACTTTAATGATAGTTTGCTTAAAACAAGCTAAATTATTTGCCAATGGGGTGAGAAAAATTATCTTAATAAGATATAATCTCAAACAGCATCACTTCGTTTTCTCATGCTATTTTTCTTGTCTGGTCTTGATGTAAGATTCGTTTAGATATATCAGGGTCCCCGCGGGTCCTTAAAAAGTCTTGAAATGTCTTAAATAAAATTTTCGATTTTTAAGGTCTGAAAATGTCTTGAATTCTGTAATTTTCCATAAGGAGGTCTTAAATTTCATGTGGGATCTTAAATTTCATGTCCAACTCGTCTTTTTTTATTCATTTTTTTCAACCGCTATTTGACCAGCGCAACATTTGGGGGCAGCACTTCGTGGGTGCAACCTGCATCATTCCATAGGTGACATACAAGTGATTGATGAATGCGTTGCGTTGATACTTCTCCACCACGGCATTTTGCGAAATCGCAAGCATGGGCAAATGTTTATTTGATGACAATTGGTTGGAGGATGAAAAGTATCGGGGTGGTTAAAGAAAACAGTCAGTAATCATGAAGGGAGGTGTGCTTTATCTAAAAAGACGATAAAACTGGGGACAATGGGCCCCAAAACGCTCGATTCACACATGAAAGCAGAGAAGCACAAAAAGTATGTGTAGTCGCAGGCAAGTAGTTTGCCCATAAGTATGTTCTCATCAAGCACTTCGACCTCAGCCTTCCACAAGGCCGTCCACTTCTAGCAATGCCTTCAGCAGCTTTGCGAATATAGTTACATTTAAGGCCGAAATACTGTGAGTATTTCAAACCGTAAGCCGCCACCACTCGTACACCTCAAACGAGGACGTCCACCTAGTTTTTCAAGCAATGTTCCCTGACTCAGAGTGTGCGAGTACGTTCACATGTGGAAGAGACAAAACAGTATATTTAGCACGATTTGGTGTTGCCCCATACCTAAAGAAGAAACTAATTTCACAAGCAAACAAGGACGCTTTCATTATAATGTTCGATGAGTCCATGAACGCAGCAACGAAGACTTTGACTTGCACTTTAGACGTTGATCAACTGACGAGACTGGTACCCTGTTGTCAGGGTTGTAAGGTCAATCAGCACTCGGCATAAAAATTTTTGCGCCCCTTTGACCTGTCTTGAGCGTGGCTCTGGTGAGTTGTGCCACGCTAATGCTTCACCACATCATTCTGTGTTGACACACTGAACACTTTCCTTTTTTTTTTTTTTTAGGTAAAGTCTTAAATTTTCATTTTAGAGGACTTATAAAGGTCTTAAAAGGTCTTAAATTTCCTGTTAAAAATGTGCAGATACCCTGTATATGAACTGGAAACGAGACAAAATAACTAAGAAAGAAAGTTTTCTGCAGTGCAGCTATACATGACAACAGATGGAAAAATTAATGATCCAAAAAAGATAACATTCACACACTTGCTCATCATGCCATCAACTACCTGATATTCCAATTCACATAAACTCATTCATAAAAGCAGAACACGCAGGATTCAGCCGGTTCATTCAAAAGTTACTCCAAAAATACATGCAAGTAAGTGTTTGGTGAACTTAGAAAAGCCTAGATTCAACTTTATAGTTACTTTCACTACGTGTAATGTGTATCTGATATAAATAAAACACATCAGCAAATTATATTTGAATGGATTGTTAGACTTTCTTGTGTGTTTTACAAACTCTAAATGTATTGTTTTACTAGTACTTGTGTGTATTTACATATCTAAAACATAAATGAAGTATTAGGCAGTTAAAATGCTGCATAATTGTGATAATATGACACGTTTCAGCGGAGTTAAGATGGTTTTGTTTTCGTAAAAAAAAGCAGCTCTTTTCCAACAGTCCCTTACTGAGAGCTCTCCTCAGCGCAAGCTCTTTGGCTCAGCGCATATTGCAACTGCTTAAACGGAGCAGTGCTTGTAATGTCGAGCAAAAAAATAAATTAAAAAGACAGCTGTGAAACATAACCTGCTTTGTCTTTTTGTGGGAAACACAGTTTAGATCTTTATAGGGTAAGAGTTTTTTGTGTTAATGCCGTCTATCAGTGTCAGGAATACCGAAAACAAAACCTGCTGAACCCCGCTGTCTTTCTCTAGCTCAGCGCCAGACACAAAGAAACCAGCACCAGGGACTTTGTAGAATTCTGTAGTGATTCTTCCGCATCATCCCTGTCTCCTTGAGGCGCTGAACTCTGTATCAGTGCGCGAGAGACAGAGAGAGGCCTTGTTCAGTCCGCTCCGCTCCATGTTCTTTTTTTTCTTATCAAATGTCTCCTGGTCGCGCAACACAACGAATCGATTATGTAATTTGTTGCCAACGCTTTTAATAATCTATTTTTATCGATTTAATCGATTCGTTGTTGCAGATCTAGTCTCCACGTTATACTGTTGATAAACAGAAGTGTTACCGTCTCGTGTTCATGCTGTACAGAGAGAGCATGTGAAAGTGAGTAATAAAAGACGCTGATGAAACGATTTGTTCTGTCTAGTGCTTAAGCTACGCACTCCAAGCTCAACAGGTTATGGGCCCCAGGCAGCGAGACTAGCGATTGTTTTCAAGAAAGCAAAGTTAACGCGACGTATTCAGGTGCAAAGTTAGCAAAGATGGTAAGCAGAGCGGGAGGATATCTAGCGCCGCAGTTTATGTTCGATGGATCAGAAGAAAAATTCGATCTATGGGAGACGAGATTTCTAGGATATTTAAACACTCTGAAGCTAAAAGAAACTATATTACATCAGCCTACTGATGCTGAAGCGGAGCAACTAGATGAGGACAGGCGGAAGAGCACTGATTGTTATGCTGAACTGATCGATGATAAAAGCCTTTCACTGGTAAGACACAATGCTGCCGATGACAGGAGAAAAGCCCTAAAAATACTGAAAGAGCATTATTCAGGCAAAAGTAAACCACACATAATAAACATGTACACAGCATTGACTCAGCTGCACGAGTGACAGTGAGAGCGTTACAGACTATTTGATACGAGCAGAAAACAACATTACAGCTCTAAGGAATGCTGGAGAGTTAATGAGTGATGGACTACCCATAGCGATGGTTCTCCGAGGACTACCGGATTCGTTTAAGCCACTAGCCGTCCACATAACACAAAATGAAGACGATGTCACGTTTACAGTAAAGAAATAAAGTAAAGGAGACTCCGAGTTTATGAGGAGACAGAGAAAATGAAAGTTGCAACTACAGACAATGTGATGAAGACCTGCACGAGACAAGGGCAAAGCTTTTACAAACCCCACACAAAAGATAGAAAAGATGAAGATATAAATATAATATGCTACAAATGTTTTTATTGTTTTTGTTTATTTTATATGGCACCAGTGCTCAAGGACGCTTTACAGACAGTAAAAAAACATGAAAAGCAAAAACCTTAAGAAGGTAGAGAAAAGGGAGACTAATAATACAACTAATATTAATATCATATCAATAACTCCTCTCACTCTAAACTTTACCTTTTAGAGCTTATTCTTGTTGGCGCAATATGGGTTTATTACATGTAGGCTATGAATCAGATTATGAAGAATGATTAAAAACATGCTTTTTCTTTGTCGCATCCTATCCGTAAGGTGTTTTATTTATTTATTTATTGAATTTTTTTAATAAAAGAAAAACAAACAAGCCCTACAAATAGCTTCATCCAAAGTATTGGTTCGCCTTTCACGTTCACCACGAATTCAAAATGTTCCCAAATTGGCAATTTAACAGGTTTTGCAACGAGTTTCATGGCTGAATTTGAACTCGCTGAATCGCCTCTAACATTATATTCATAAATGTAGTCCTTGGTAACATTTGTGACAAAAAAAAAAGAAGCCCGGCACTCTTTTTTTATGTCACTGGAAAACGACTGAATCAGCTGGTGTGCGCGAGTCATGTTGCTGTCATATTCAAGATCTGTAAAGTAATACAGCTCTGGATGTAACAGCGACCACAAGTCTCCTCCATCATTAAAAGTTTGTCATAGTCGCCTTGACAACCCAAACTTTTTTTTTTCCCTCAGGGCCGCACGCCGGACATCCGGCATGGTGCCGAAATACTTAAAGCCCTGAATAACAGTAGTAAAGCATGGTATAGTTTACTTTGCATTGCAAGACTAAAGACAAGTGTTTATTCACTCTCCTTTTTTAGATTATTCATTTCATCTGTTGTCATGTGTAGCTGCACTGCAAAAAAGCTTTTCTTTCTTAGTCATTTAGTCTCGTTTCCAGTCCAAATATAAAAAAAAATCCTAAATCAAAACTAGAAAAGAAAAATGGCATGAGAGAATGAGTGATGCTTAAAACTCCTGTTTGAGATTATATCTCATTAAGATTTTTTTTACACAATTAGCAAATAATTTAGCTTGTTTTAAGCAAACAATCACATAATTTTTAGGTGTATTTCTTTTTCAGAAAACAAGACATAATTTTTCATGCTATTTCATGTGTCTAGTATGTTTCTTGATTTAAAAATATTGAGATATTTGGATTGAAAACAGGACAAAACTACTTAAGTTTTTTATTTTACTATTATTATTATTATTATTTTTATAACAGCTTAGGGATTAGCTTTTTTGAATAAAGGGTTGAAAATGAATGCTTTACTTGTTTGTTTGTTTTTATATTCGATTCATTAATTAATTGAAAAAAATAATCGACAGATTAATCGGTTATCAAAATAATCGTTAGTTGCAGCCCTAATGTATGCCTTTACTATTAAGTGACTATACAGTCAATTAAAATGGCATCAAATTACAGCAGGTGAACGTCAACATTACTTTGATTAAGCATGAACTTAAGACTTAGCCTGAGAGTTAACCTGCCCTGGACCAGGCTAGTTTCCCAGCAAAGTTGCCAGAGTAACTGAGTTTGAAATATCGTAGATTTGATTTATGAAACTGATTCAGCCATTAATAAACCTGACATATCCAAAATAAGCCTGGCTTTTTCTCTAAGCTTGGTAAATGGAATAGGGCCCTGGTATAGCATGAGCAGCGTGGAATGTGATTACAGATAACCCCGGATTCTCTTCATCCAGGATTAGAATGACCCAGGGTTAACAATTTGAAGTGTGAAAAGCCCTAAAAATACTCAGCATTAGCTCTCAGGATAAACAGAGCACAATGACAAACAGCAACAATTGTCAATCATGTCATAGTTGTGACCTAATCTCATGCTTTTGTTTTAGAACTTCAGTTGTCTATTGGGGAAATGACCAGAAATAATGAATGGCAGAAAACAGTCACACTACTTGCTCTACAAACAGGTGTGTTCATGTCTATACATACAAAGAAAAATAATAAAATGAGAAAATATGACTTTGCAACATCAAGCAGCATTAGGCATGGGCCAGTATAAGATTCTGACGGTATGATAACCTAAAATATATTTTCTTCTCAGAAACTTATAAAATATTTTGGAGCAGTAAACATGTCAGGCTAAATCATTCAAATGAATCACAGATTTCTTTACGATTTAAAACGGCATCTTTGGATATCTTTTCTGCAGGAGATACTGTTGTCCTAAAAAACTTAAAACATAAAAAAGGTACAGCAGAAAATGTTGGCGGTTTTAAAACCTTGACTTTTCCAAACTGCGGTAAACCTTAAATATAGTTATCGCCCCATGCCTAAAGAGCATAACTCTGATTTTAGGATCTAAAAATTAATTTTTTTTAAAAAGTGTCAGGCAAAAAGATTCCAATGGCGCCGCCTGCTGGTGTATAAAGAATATGGTCAATATTCTCAGATTGTTCAATGTTTTATAACTAATCACTTAAGTGTCCATTTCATTCAGCGTATTTAATACTGGGGGTATCCACAATTTTTGACATACTTTAAACCAGGGTTTCTGCAGGTTTTACCAAGTTAAATTTAAGGCTTTTTATGACATTTTTAGGACCATTATGAATGAAATTTTAGGCTCATGAAGGTCTAAAGGCTAAATAACTTTTCAAATGACCCAGATGAAAAAAGATTTTTATTTGCCCCGTCCAAAAAAATATTATAATTTAAAACATTTAATAATACAATAATAAATTAATAATATTTTTTAATTATTTTAGATATTTCTTTGAAAAAAAATTAAATATTGTGTAAAAACAAGCCAGCTCAACTTGTATTCAAATATAAACGTTCTTTATAATAATAAAAAATGGACAAATGTTTTAAAAGTTTAAAAAACTACAATAAACTAAATCTATGCACAACAATCTGTCCAGGTCGATGTCCTCAGCAGTAAATACATGGAGCACATTTAAACAAATGTAATTGTAAGGAAAATAATTAAAACAGATAAATTAGAGTGAAAATTACCTTTTTTAATAAAAAGTTTAAAGATTTATTTAGGTGGATACTTGGTGATTGTGTGGGTTTTGGCCAGATTGGGTAACAAAACATGAACAAAGGAAAATGAAGACTTGTTTAAAAAAGATTTAAGACCTACAAAACAACATTTCAGTAAATTTAAGAGTTTGTAAGGCTTAAAATTTTGAGTCTTCTATGAGAATACTGTAGGTCAAATATCACCAGCTCAGTTAAACCTTTTTAAATGTATTGTATTTATTTATTAAATAAAGCACCAGTGCTCAAGGACGCTTTACAAACAGTAGAAGAACAAGAAAAGCAATAACCTTAAGCAGGTAGAGAAAATGGGAGACTAATAATACATAAAAGAATGACAAAAGACATGAGAACAAGTGACAAAAGAAACTTATTTCGGTCTTTCAATGAGTGCTCGTGTGCATTTAGGAGAACTAGACAGCACACTCAGGGCTGCAAGATGGATTTAATTTATTATTCTTATTATTACAATATATCTGAATGAGGATCAAATGACTGAGTTGGTCTTTGAGAATGAAAACCAACCTGTTTGTTCCTGCAGATCTTCCTGTTTGACTGTGAATGTTTCTTCAATCTTCACATCTTCACTCTCCTCTTTAATAAACGGCATCTTTATAACAGTGTGGAGATCAGTCGCTTCAGCAGGAGTTTTTCTCTGTGTTTGGACACTTCCTGTTTAAAATGAACAAAACAATAAAAATGTTATGTTTAAAATAAATAAAACAATGAACAGAAACAAAAAAACTTCTCTTTAACACTTGCTTCAACAGTTTCGATTAATGAGAGTAATTAACAAAAAGAAATCAGGTAAAACGTTTCTTTAAAACAGTGGTTCTCAAAGTGAGGGTCGGGACCCCCTGAGGGGTCATAGAGGTAAAGTTGGTTTTATATTCACACATTTGTTCATTTAGAAGTCTCTATGCTGTTTACCATGTTACTTTGAATATTCGATCGGAATTAGCATCCAAGTGTGACTTGAAAACAACATTAACACTGTTTATTTAACTGTGAACAATGTTGCACTTTGATAGTCATTTGCTGCTAATATGATTTCCCTATTTAGAGTTTGCAAATAATACTTTAATGAAATTATATTATTAAGGGCAAAGTCAGAATGTGCGAATATAAAACCAACTTTACCTCTATAGATAATTGAGGTAAAGTTGGTTTTATATTTGGGTATTCAGACATTTCCCTTAATAATAAAATTTCCTAAAAGTATTCTTTGCAAACGCTAAATATGGAAATCATATTAGCAGCTAATAATTATCAAAGTACAGCATTGTTTACAGTAAATTAGATAGTGCTAATGTTGTTTAGAAGTCATACTTGCATGCTAATTCTGACAGAATATTTCCAGTAACATGGTAAACAATATAGACTGCTAAATAAATTGTTATTTTTGGGATCGCGGGCTGAAAAGTTTGGGAAACGCTGCTTTAAAACTCGCATTACACACAAACAAAAGCCCTCGGTTACTGAGAATAAAATAGTATTACGCTGTATAAAGGGTTAAAATAATATTTCCAACAGCAGGTACATAATTTAGCATCGGATGAAAAACCTGAAACATTAATTAAATCGGGTTATATCCGTAAACATTTAAAAACAAACCTTTCTCCGGTTGAATCACAGCGCTGAAGCGGCGCCACCTGATGACGTCACACACCACGCCAAAATAAAAGTCTTTTTTGTGTAGCTTTTTTTGCCACTTACTGTTGCAGTCATGACTTATTGATACATTTCTCCCTTGTTTTTCATTCTACACTATTTCTGCTCTCTCTCTCTCTCTCTCTCTCTCTCACACACACACACATTTTATGTGCTTTATTGGCATAAAAAAATAACTGTACATTCATATTGCCAAAAGCAGTGCAGCGACACTACGTAAAACAAGACAATGCAAAAAGGGCAGTAGTGCAAACAAATATGGATATAAAATATAATACAGAAAAAACACAGAATTTAATAAAATAAAAATAAAAAGATTGATAAAATAAAAAATATTAATACAAATTTTAATAGATTAGATCTCTCTCACAAACACACACTTTAGTATTTAAAGTTGATCAAAACCTTTAATCTAATAAAGGGGTAGTTCACATTAAAAAAAATTACAATTCGGTAATTTACTCATCCACTACTTAAGCCAAACCTGTTTGAGTTTCTTCTGCTGAATGCAAATGAAGAGAATAGGCTACAGGGTCAAAAAGCAGCCACTATATGGTTCAACAGCTCCTGCTTTGGACATGGCTGATTTTATCAACATTTTCTGACAAACAAAATGTTCTTGAAACTTGATTACAATTGAACCACTAAAGTCACGTCACAGGTTTTGACAATGTTTTTGGTTTCTTTTCCAGAAAAACCACTGTCAAACCCTTTGAGCATCTCTGGACTCTTGCTGTCTATGACAGACGAGGGAGCTCTTTGATTTCATCTAAAGTGTCTTCATTTGCGTTCTGAAGATGAGAAAAGTTCTCAGGGGATTGAAACAGCAGATTGAGGGACAATCGTTCTCGAGAGCCACATCGCACTGCTTTTTTTACATTTATTTATACATTTTTTATTGCAATAACAACTGGCCATTACAACAAATAGAAATACAGAAACTGATACTCGTGTGATATTACTCATATATTCATTTATTTTCTTTATAGCTTAGTCCTTTTATTAATCAGGGGTCGCCATAATGAAATGAACTGCCAACTTATCCAGCAGCACGTGCTTTACACAGCGGATGCCCTTCCAGCTGCAAACTATTACTGGGAAACATGCAAACACACTCATTCACACACGCCGCATGTCTATGGACTTTGTGAAAACCAGAGCATCCAGAGGAAACTCACACGAACACTGGGAGAACATGCAAACTCCACACAGAAATACCAACTGACCCAGTTGAGGCTCGAACCAGCAACCTTCTTGCTGTGAGGTGATCGTGATACCCACTGCACCACTGTGACACCTCACATCTGTGTCTTTATTTGAGGTATTAAACTGGTATTGGTGAAGAACTATGCTTACGAAAAGGCACCATTCAGATGTAATAATCTGGGCAATCAAGCATGTGTTGTTATAGACACTATGCTTATTTGTCTTAAGAGATGTTAGGCAGGTCCTGTTCATGTAATTTGCTTTAGGTTGGTCGAGTTGGTATTGGCATGAACAGCTATACCTGTTAACAGGTTTCATATATGTAAAACGATCCTATTCAGTTAATGGTCTGGCCTATTAGCCAGCTATTAATAAAGATGACTGCACATGATGATGAGCCATTTATTTAAATGAATCTGTGACACAGATATTTAAATTTCATTGTTGCAAACAAGTTACAGGAGTAAGTGCAGTTGTTGTTGTATGTGATGTTCACCACTGTAATTACACCATAGTGAAAAAGAAATCTGAGAAATGCAGTAGTTGGTGTAGGTGGAGCAGGTTAATCACATTAAAAGTTCTGCATTGTGTAGATATGAAAGTGAACTCTTGTCATTGAATTACCCTGTATAAACTGCCTGTACAATCATTTAACTTGAGATGTAATTATCTTCTAATTATAAATATATAGCTGCATGACAGATAATTTAATAGTGGACTCCACAAAGGTAAGACAAAAGCTTGACATCGCATCACGTGAGTGCAAGAGACCAATAGAAGATCAAAACATGAGCTATATGGAGCAATCAGTCGCTTTTAGTATCGTCTAATCATATTGTTTTATCCCACCCTTTTTTGCAGCGATGTATGAAAGAATTTTGCAAGCACAAACTCTAGTGTGACCGCAGCCCAACTTGCTTTCAGATTAACTATGACCGGCTGCTATATATATATATATGAGCCTACCTTAGACAGTGGGTACATCTAGAAGCTGCTGTGCTGTAGAAGTTTCTGATTAAAATTATGATTTGTGCCTGTACCATAACAGATCTCTCTTGTTGTGATATGTGTCTTGGTAACCTTTAATGTGTTGTTTTTTGCTCATTGATTCGACTGCATTGAGTGAGTGAGTGCATTTTCCCTCCTTCTCCTGGTTAAGAGATAAGGCTATATAGTAGAATTAGTTATATTTCAGATAGTATAAATCAATTATTAACAACAAAAGACCAACTTCATAATGATTTTAGTGTAAAAGACTTTAATTTGAAGCAAAAAAGATGCTGGAGGACGGGATCAGATATATGGCACTTTATTCACACCTGATTGCCTCTGCAGCTTGTACATAACATTTCACAGCACCTGGAATTAACACAAATGAGTTTGAAGTTACAGAGTGTCTCATCCATTTGTGATTAATGTACAAACAATTATCTTCTAAGGCCAAAAGTAGCAAAAATGGACAGTATGTGATAGCTTTACTGTGTTAAAAAAGGTTTTGTCACAGGGTATCTTATATATTCTTTTGTGAATGTCTATGCATATTTGTATGCACAAACACAAATGATAATTAGAGGGAAAAACATCCTTGTTACATATCAGGTGAATAAGAGGCTTTGGAGAAAGATGAGCTGCTCACACATTTTCTGTTCTACTAAAAAACGAAGGAAAGAAAAAAAATGGCACAGAAACAAGTTACATTTTGATCATAAAAATTTATAGACACTTTTGGAAAGAAATAATTGACCTGTTAAGTGTGTTGACAGTTTACAGGAAGCAGTAATGAGCTGCATGTGCTTTAGGAGAAGTAAAGGACTCTAAACTCACATAAAGAACAAGTTCAGTGATAAATAAATGACTAAAACATTGCTAATATTAATATATTGACTGAACTTAACACAAATTAAACCTCACTGTGAAGATTAGAAATTGTATCTTATAACAAATAATGATATATCACAGTATAATAGTATCACTTACATAACTAGTATATAAGTGAATGTAGTTGTGTGTGTTGAGACATCAGTGCGGTTTAAGTCTTCAATGCTCATTTGCATCTTTAAACAAAAAACAGCTTGGGAAAAAAAAACAATTAAAATGTGTTTTAAATCAAAATACCTCAACATAAGTGTATCAGCATTAACTACAAAATGCAGCAGCCAAAATAAAAAAGCTTCCATCAATAGTCCTATAAAACAACAGCAACAAAACAAATGATGATGGCTAAAGTCAACTTATTTTCCCAATACATCATTATTTCTCTGTAAAACTGGTTTGTAAAGCTGCTGAACTTCCCATCCCCCACTGTATGTGTCTTGAGTCTTCACTGCTCCCCACTGCTCATTTCATTTGCATCTCTATACCAGCTTTAATGGAGGCCAATTGAGTCTTATCCAATCACATTCCAGATCCAGTAGCTCAGCAGGGTTACATCTATATATTCCGTGTTTCTAACGGAGACTTCATTATCTGATTTAGCTGTAAGAGAACAACTTTGGAGGACAAACTACGATTGTAGATTCCTACATTGGGATTATTACCAACAACAACCTACAAAGAAAAACCCACGGAGGCCTTTTTTATCCCACTTCTTCATTGAAGACAGAAAAGGTGAGTTGCACATTTTGAATTTACACTCAAATAATATCTGAATGCTAACATTATAAAAATGTAAATATGTGTGGATGCATTGTTCAACATTGTATTAAGTTCTTCAGTCATTTTTAAAAGCTTCTT